ATAGGCTTCCTAGACTCTCCGTAACTCTCCTTGATTAGCGTATGGATCCTATGTTTTTAGTAATTCGGGCCAAGTACTACCTTCCACACCTATCCATAATTTCCTCAAAAATTGTTCCGAATCCTCTAGGTCACCTGGTACTCCAAGTACTCTCTAAACAACGCAACCAAACCACTAAAGCACTTCCTAGGCGTTCCTAGGTTCCTGACCTCACCTATCCATCAGCTGCTGAAGAACTCCCACTAATGTCCGCTAATTACTTCATGAGTATAATCACATGCTACAAAGCATAGATAATCCTTTAAGTAAAAGACTCGACCCTACAACGGTTAGACTTAAATGAGATGTAACGCTCGTTTCAGGTATCAATTACTTTTCAGAATTTTAGGGTTATAAATTGGAACTCGACGAGTTGGGGAGCTCCAACTCATCGAGTAGAGATCATTTTTGGGATGCGGGATTTAGGATCTAGTCGATGAGTTAGAAGGCCCAACTCGATGAGTAGGAACTGTAAAGGAAAACCTAATTTGCAGAGGTTTGCACCCTATATAATCTCCTTAAAACCTTGAGGTTGACCTTCCATCAGCCCCCAAACCCTAAGAACCTCACTGCAAAACCCTAATCTATATTTTCTCTCATATTGTGGGCTAGAGTGACTTTTGGAGCTTAAGAAAAAGATAGTGAGAAGAAGGAGCATATCCAACAAACAAAGACCTCACTCTTGAGCTTGACCATCTTGTGGACTATTGTAAGCACTTAAGATTTGATTTTTATCTTAGAGTATGGCTAGATCTTGAGTTTACCCTTCATAACCTATCATTCTTGTCGATCACATGCATGGGTTTCATAAGGTTTGCAACTTCATGGAGCTCTAGGGCAAAATGGTCCCATAGTGGGCTAGATCGAGATTTTGGTCAAGCATGGATACCATGCTTGGATTTTAGGGTATATTTTCCCTCTTTAGCCATTTTGACTTCAAGACATGCATTGGACATCTATATCCATAATGTATCCATCTTTGGAACGTTTTGAGGATTAGAACCTCTTCTGGAAAGGAAGGATTCCAGATCCTTAGTCTTGAACCATATAGCTAAGATTTTGAGCTTTCCAACCTTTGTTAAGGGATTTAGAGCATTCAGAGTGGTTCTAGAGGATAAAGTTGGAAACTTTTTCCTTCTAGACACCTTTAGATTTCAGATCTAAGCCCTAGAGTCCCTGCAATCAATGTATCATCCGAATGTGCAAACAGGGGGAAAACTCGACGAGTTGGATCGGGTTTTCGTGTCTACTAGATATTGAGTGAACTCGACGAGTTGATGAGACAACTCGGTGAGTTGGCTAGGGTTTGTCCTGTTTTTCTGGACTCTGAAGGAACTTGACGAGTTGGGGTCAACATGGACTGTTGACCTTGACTGTTGACTTGGACTTTGACCATGGTTGACTAAGTTTGACCTTGAGGGTATTTTTTGGTATTTCGGAATTTTGAAAAAATCAGCCACATGATGATTGTAGGCAGTTGAGTCAAAGTTTCACTTTGGGACTTATCTGATCTTATCTTATCAGTTCAGCATTTCTTAAGAAGTGAGTCTTCTCCCCATACCAATGGGTCCAAGGCACCCAGGCTGGCCCATTTCATGATATATTGATTGATAGTTGATTATGTGATATGTTGCTATGATACTTGTATGGAAGTCCCCGTGGGGTTCCCGTGGTAGTATAATAAGACCACGAGGAGGTTCCTATGGCATTTGGTATAAGTCATTGGAGGGTTTCCACGGCTTCCTAGTATGTTTACATATTTAGCTCGTATGATATTTCTATGGTTCGTGTAGACCGTGTGGAGGTTCCCACGACAGTTAGCCAAGACCACGTGGGGGGTTCCAGTGGCGGCTAACAAAGACCATGTGGAGGGTTGCCATGGCAGATAGTTAAGACCACATGGTGGTTCCCAGTGGCATTTGGTGTAAGACCTTGGATGGTTTCTATGGCCTCCTTATATGTTTGTATGCATGGCTTATGTGTTGTATGTAGCTTATAGAGCTATTATAGATTATGTGATTATGTGACCTGTGTGAGGTATGCTCTGGGGAACTCACTAAGCATTAGCTTATAGTTTGTTGATTGTTTCAGGTACATCTAAGCCTAAGGGAAGGGGCAAGGCTTGATGGTGCGACATGCACTCTTCGACATTTGATTTGATGGGATACTCTGATGTTTGACATACAATATCAATGTTATGGATTTTGAAAACAATTGTCATTGTTACTTCATATTTTATGGAAATGTTTTGGTTAATTAAAAATGAACAATTTATTTGAAAATTTGCTTTGTTACACGAGAGTTGCACAATATGGCAAAATCAATCGCTCTGAGATTGTTTAACCCATGCAGCATGTGACTTATCATATTCACTCAATAGTTAATTCCCAATATCAAGAGTCCCACAAAGGCACAAAGCAAGTAGCATTCATGTAGTAACACTCCAAGCCATAGACCAATCAATGGGATTCTCAAGCTCACTGGCTACCAACATCTTCGTTGTACTAACATACTTCCTAGGTTCTCCTAGGATTCCTTATCCTCACTCTACCATCAGCTGTTGAAGAAATCCCACTAATGTCAGCTAACTACTTCTTGAATACAACCACATGCAACAAAGTTTAGATGATCCTTCGAGTAAAAGATGCATCCCTAAAATGGTTGGACTCAGACAAGAGCTGCACAATATGGTCAAATCCATCACTCTGAGATTATTTAACCTTTGCAGCATGCAATTTAACGTATTCATGAAATAATTAGCTCATGTCAGTATGAGTCCCACAAAGCACAAAGTAAGCAACATTCGGGCTTCAGAAAGTCTCACTAGCATACTAACTAATCAAGACATTTTATCCAATAATCTGAAATCAATACTATCATGCTAAATCTCAAACAATAGGAATACCAAGGCATCTATCCAAGCATTCTATTATGTAAATCCTGAGTAGATCCTTAGCCCTAACTACCATGTAATTCATAGATTCACATATCAAACCATATCACACCCTTTTTCTCTTATTATAAAACCCTTTTTATAAAACATTTCTTTTGAAAAAAATCTATCAAACCCCCAGTTTGAGTTCAAACACACCCAAGACTATGCCTGAATCCCTCAAACTAAGGCTCTTATAGCAACTTGTAACGTCCCAGAAATTAAGACTAGAAATTTTGATTTTTAAGTTAATAAAACCATTATCCAAAACAACAACATGGAAACCATAGTGAATCAGAGTTTATCAAATAACATCCAAGTACATCAGAGTCATGTAAAATGCGGAGCAATATGGTGTATGCAATGCAATCATCCTAAGCCCTTCCCATTCGAACCGGAAGTACCTAAAACATGAATTGAAAACTGTAAGCACAAAGCTTAGTGAGTTCCCCCAAAATACCCCATATTATACAATCATACAGTCAAGTGTATATGGGTGCTTGTAGTCCCCTTCGGTTTATTAAAACCAGATACCGGGTCTATTTCACCCTTACCACTACCACATAATCTCATAACAAAAGAATCACAGAGACATCAAGCAATTATATGCATAATAGACAATTATCACGAAGATGGTCATCATACTACAAGCATAACTTAGTGGGCCAGCATTGGTACCTTCGACCCACAGATGCAGTGAAGGAAAATCTACTTGAAGGACGAAGCCAACTTCAACTAGCTGCTCTCCTACCAAAATACTGGTGCTCAGCACCTCAAATGTCTAGAATATACACAAGATAATGATGATGAAGCTTCCTTGTTAGACCAACACTCTAGAACATCTTCTTTTCCTTCTTCTAGCCACCAAAACACCAATTTGATCTAAACCCACCAAGAGGGATGATGGTTAGTGTTTCTGAGTTGGAGGGAGGCGAAGGCTGAGAAATGAACCCTAAAAACGAGTTAAGGGGATTAAATACGTGGGAAACCATAAATATTTGTGGGCTTGGGCTATAGTGATCCTCAGGTCGTGAGCTCTTATTCTTCACGTTGTGAGTTCATTATATATAAAAATTCTTCACTAATCGCTCCTCACCTCATGACCTTCTATGGCTCACGTCGTGAGCCTTGCTTTTACCCAAAAACCAAGCATTTGACTCCTTAAAACCCTGATTCAACTCTTCTAGGAAAACGGGTGTTACAATTTTTTAAGCTTTTAGATAAAATTACAGAGATGGTCCTTGTGGTTGGCACAATATACCATAGATAGTCCTTATGAGGAATTTTGACGAGTATGGTCCCCATGGTTCCCAATTGTCGCATGGATAGTCCTTATGACTGACTTTGCTTGATTTATGTTGTTTATCAAAATCATGTGACCCTCATACGAGGGTATTTTGGTCTTTTTCTTTATTACACTATCTGATCATACACATAACTGATCCTTACAGCCAACTATCATTTACATTACCCCCAAGAAATCCACCCTTTCTTATCCCCTTTGGTTTTTCATCTTCATCACTTACAAACTCAAACGAAAACAAGGGTTTTCATCTTCATCTTTTGTGATGGTTTTAACTTTATGGAATATTTGTTCAAAATTCTCAGAAAATAATAACTTGATCAAATCTTGTGGTGAGTGATCAATTAACAACATTAAATATTGTTAAAATTTCCATTTTTAAAATTTTTGAGACTTCATTCTTTCCTCATATCATTATTTATTTGTTTTTCAGTTGTGTTAAGTAATTTATGCACATTCAAGATTCACCTTGGGGGCATGTTCACAAAATACACAGGAAGAGGTTACGTGGGTGGGAGTATCGGCTTTGTTGACTATGTAGACATGAACGTGTTTTTAGTACATGAGTTAGACAATATGTTTAAGGAGATAGGTTATGTTAATGGTTAGCCTATCTACTACCACTTTTTGATTCTATAGATTGAAATCGATTAAGGGTTACTTCCTCTAGGTAACAACTCAGACGTAGTTATGTTAAGTAAGCATGCCTCTAATTATAAAGAGATTATGGTGTATACTAAACATGGAAATACTAGACTCCATACTTACTTTATGTCTCCAAATAAGGTCACATTGGATAAGATAAACGAGCCTATTTCTCCTAAACCTAATCGAAATTTTTTTACCAGTACAGAGGTAGGATCATGCAGTAGAAAATTAGATTTGAATGAGAACTATGATTTTTCTAGGTCCATTGTAGCTTTTGGACATTTTGTTGGATATGTAGTGAAAGATGTTGGTGTTAAAGTTGCATATGAGAAGCTTAACAAAGTTCAAGATGTTAGTGTTCAAGCTATAGGTGAGAAGCTTGGTATACCCATTGATACTCTTTCAAAAGACTTTGATCCTTTCTTTTATACGTATCATAATGATTACCAACTGGTGGAGGAAAAAGATTTAGAATATTGGGGTGATAGGGTGGTACACAATGAAGAAATTAGGGATGTTATTAGTGACGAGAGTAGTACGGATGGAAGTATAAGCGAGGATAGTGACTTTTTAGTTGATCAACTTAATATGGTGAAGGATGTCGAAGTGTATATGAAAGGCTTCCATAGTGGTGTGGAGAATTTTCCAAATCTAGATAACCACCAATCATTTAATGTACCTGATGTCATAGTTGATGAGGATTTGGAGGTGATAGATACACAGTTGTTTGAATCAGCTGGTGTACAAGAAGATGAGAGGAATAAGTTGATAAGAAGTTTAAACAAACCAACCACATGTTCATCAGGGGTAGTACATGAAACTGCATTCCACATGAGTCAAATATTTAAATCCAAAACAGAAGTGAAGGCCTACATTAAATGCATTCAATTCAAACTAGGACAAACATTTACTTTGAAAAAAAAAATGATTAAAAAAATTAGGGAGAAATGCAGGGGTGTAGTCCTAGAAATGAGAGGTGGGTCATGGACAAAATGCAGAATCAAATGCAAGGAAAAAACAATCAGTTCACAAAAAGCAACATGCGCTTGGGTGGTATTAATTTCTAGATTTGATGAAGAAAGCAATTGGATGTTTAAAAATCTGGTTCATGAGCATAGATGTGTGCAGTCAATATCTATTAAAGCATGTACATCTAAGTTTCTTGCAAACACCATTCTTCAACAAGTAGAAGGAAACCCAACTATCCTACTTAAAGCTTTACATGTAGAGTTACAAAAGACATATGAGGTGGGGATGTCAAGAATGAAGGTCTTTAGGGCTAAAACGTTTACACAAAAACATGTGTATGGAGATTATCAAAAGCAATATAACCTTCCCAGGTACTACGTACTAGAATTAAAATACTGCAATCCAGGAACAATTGTGAAGATTGATGCATACAGTGAACCAAATGCAGACTTGGAAACTAGGATGTTTAAGAAAATTTATGTCTGTTTAGGTTCATTGAAACTGGGTTTTAAGGCAGGTTAAAAGATATTATAGGATTCGATGGGGGCTTTCATGAAGGGCCCTTACCATGGACATGTCCTCCTACTGTGAGTCTTGATTCCAATAATGGGATCTACCTACTAGCATATGTCATAGTTGAAGCTGAGACCCAAAGCTCATGGATTCGGTTTCTAGGGTGTCTAGGTGAAGATTTGGAGCTCTCTAAAAATTCAAACTTCATATTCATTTCTGACAGGTAAAAGGTAAATGTTTTTATGATACTTGTTTTTAATATTACATTTAGAAAATAACATTTTTGTTACTTGTGAATTAGGGGATTTTACCTTCCATTGCCAACCTATTCCCTAGTACTGAGCATAGCTTCTGTTTACGACATATTCGTGAGAATATGAAGCTACAATAGAGGGGGAAGGAGCACAAAGATCATTTGTAGGAATGTGCAACAACAACAACAGTTAGACACTTTGACAGATTCATGGAGGATTTTAAAAAGTTCAATTCATATGCATATGACTAGTTAAAAGTTATTCCACCAAAACATTGGGCAAGAGCACATATTTCAGTTATATTTATCATTATATTGTATAATAGGTGTTTATTCTTATATATCCTTATTCCTTTTACTAAAATCATATTTGTTGCATTGTACAGGAAGAGCACATACATATATGTTATTGAATAATTTGTGTGAAGTTTTCAACTCAAAGTTGTTAGATGCTCAAGACAAACCTATAACTACATGTTTATAGTATATTAGGGAATACTTAATGAAAAGAATTTGTATTGTGAAAAATATGATTGATAAGTCTCAAGGGCCACTTACCCCAACAACCATAAAATTTTTAGATGGAGTTACGAAAGATGCTTCTCAATACACTTGCATATTTAATGATGCTGATGAGACTAAAGCTACTAGGATATTAGGGGATCAATTTATGGTTATTTGGAGGGACAACAACTATTGTAGGCATTAAGAAATCATTAGGATATCATGCTCTCATATTGTTAGTGCCATTTGGGATAAGGTTGAGCATGTGGCCAAAAATACCCCACCTCTTGAGGAGTAGGTACATCCATGTTATAGGTTAAGCATATGGAATGAAATGTACAACTACAAAGTTCAGCCTATCAATGGAAGAAGTATGTGGCCAAGGTCAGATTACCCATAACACTGACACCCTAAGCATACTAAACAGGTAAATAATTTTCAATTTACAAGTTAATATACGCTTATAGTGTTTTAAATTTTTTAGTTATGCAAGTGGGGAGACCAAAAAAGAAAAGAAAGAGAGCTTAAAGTAAACCAAATAATCAAGGTAAAAGTTAGACCAGGAAGTTCCTTACACTTACCTGTAGCAAATGCAAGAACAAGCGCCACAAATCTAGGAGTTGCAAGGGACAAGGGGGACAAAATGAAGTTAGAAATGTGGTTTTTAAAAATATTTCTTTTGTGTTGTTTAATTTGGTACCTTAGAATGCTCATACTAAGTTGGTTCTTATGTGTCTTCATCTTTTATTGGTATTATTGTATATTAGGGTGCTAGACTAAGTTGGTTCTTGTGGTTTTGACACATTAGTCTGCAAGTTCTTTTGATATTGTGTTGGTATTATGACTTTGAACTTTAAGGATGTGGAATAAAGTTTATGACTATGCAAAAGTTTGCATTTTTTAAACATTTCTAATGTTGTTATGGCTCTATAATGGTTTACACATTATACTACAACGGTCTAGACATTTGATTGAACATGCTCATATTAATACAAAAACATTTCACTTTCATATTTAGTACTTTAATGGTTCTGAAAAGTTCATACAGTTGCAGACCATCAATATTTTACATCTATATTAACCTTTCCAATAAAACCTAGGTCTATATGGTTGCAAACTAAAAAGTTTCCCAAATAAAAAGCACTCCATTAATATATACGAACATTTCTTACATCCCAAACAAACAAAACAAAATCATCTTCAGACTAATAATATTTTTTGATATCCCTAACAAGCATAAGAAGCATCATCTCCAGACTAATATTATTAGCATCTTTTGTACGCATACATGAAAAAGAAAACCCAACTAAAAGCAAGCATCATCTTCAGTTTTTTTTTTTTGCTTCCAAACTTGTTTGCAACAGACATTCATGAATCATGTTTATTGATTTTAGCAAATCAAGAATGACAGCCACATCCCTACGACACATGGGTTCATCAAATCATGCATTGAAATTGCAAGTGCTAGGACATTATCATAACCTACGACATGGGTTGAGATCCATCTGTGATGTCACTATCATCGCTTGCCTTCCACAAAAACAATTCACCATTGTTAAGCAAATTTTCTTGGAAAAACATAAAAGAGAGAATAAAGGAGAAATAAAATAATGAAGGAAGTATTGGGGGTCTAATCTTTATAGGGAAGGAAAAATATTTCGCAGGTGTTATAAATACATGAGAGAGAAGGGATACACAAAAGACCAATACCCTCGTATGAGGGTCACATGATATTGATAAACGTTAAAAATCAAACGGAGTCAATTGTGACATCCCTATTTTCACGGCTAGAAAAAACCGATTTTGTTTGTGCTTTATAAAAATCGGAGTACCTCTTTTAATAAAAATGTTGCGGAATTTGTTCCCAGTAAAACATGATAAATACGTTATCAAAGCATTTACGAAGAAAAGTATTTTTATTCATTTTAAAACATTTGGGATGTCATCGTCAATACAGAAACATAAGCATAAACATAACTTATATTCATTATCACTAGTGATTTATATCTCCTTAATCTCTTAGTGTAATGTGACATCATATCAACATCTGTGATATAAATAAACTGAGTGGGTCAGGTTGGGAAACCTGGTGAGTACATAGGGTTTTCAACCCACAATAATATTATTATTATGTTTAATCATTAAACAGTTAACCCAATTACCCATCCCCATTATCATCTTTACTCTTAAGGATGTACCCTAGGAATCAATTATTTCTCATTCATTCATTCCTAAGGATTATCCTAAGGAATAGGTACGAAGTACATCGTTGTCAATGACACAACTGTCAAGCACAGCTGCTAGTTCTATCACTTAGGCGCAGCTGCTAGAATTGTGACATTCTCTATGAGGCGCAACTGCCGGTATTGTCCTTCGGGCACAACTGCTAGGGTTATTTCGTTTCTTGACAATATCGTTTTCGAGAGTCCACTCGTAATACATTTCAATAGTTTTTTTTTAGAGTGCACCGGTGAACACATCGTTCACAACACCTACAGGTTGCAAGCCTGCAAGTGTTCCAATGGACTGTCTAGAATAGTCTGTGGTTGTCATCCATAGTCTGCTAGATGACGAGGCCAACATTTGGGAACAAGGCTTCTCAAATCGTCCACCTCTCACCCTTACCTCATGGTCTATATCACCTCTCAACTCATCATCCAACTCATATCTCATCTACCCATATTTTACCCAACATATTATGTAGATATAAATACATATACAGTTTAAATCATATAAAACTTGTATAAAATCATTCATCCAGCATAGATAGCAAGTATACAGATAATATGCACACATATCATGTAGTTTATATAAAATACTTCATATCTATGTGTAAGGTGGTGATTCCAAACTCGGAGACTAATTAATAGTCTTGGTATTATTACTATTATATAAGCACGAAACAATATTTCTCAACCACTATATACAGACAGGGGCCATTTTGGCATATAACACTTCTGAAATCCAACAACCATATGCGGCCCTTTAAACCAGATTCCCCATACCGTGAGTGGTTAAAAAGATATTATAACGAAACTTATATAACTCATAATAATAGCCTAAATAATCATTATAAGGTCCTAATAATATTACTATATTGAAACATAAGCTATACTAAAGGTAGGTTAGGCGTAGCTCACTTATAGCGGCTTTTTCTCAAACCGGACTTCGCTGGAGCTAACCAGGGCCTTGCCCTCTGCATCGGACCGAAGTCCGGAACTAACCAGGGCCTTTCCCTCTGCATCGGATCGAAGTTCGGAAACTACATTAGACCGAAGTCCGGAACTAACCAGGGCCTTGCCCCCTGCATCAGACCAAAGTCCAGAAACTGACTGGACATAGCATGACATAACATAACTACTAGCATAAAAACATATAAGGCATACTGCATCAGACCGACGTCCGGAACATAACACAATGACATGCTTGAATCAAAAAGACATCAAGCACACTAAGTTCCTACATCAGACCAAATTCCGGAACTACTACTAACTAAACGGGCCAACATTGTGACCGTAGACCCGTTCCTACTGGAAGGGAACTCACCTCGTAACGCTGGCTGCTAAGATGCTAAGTCTGAAACTGGCTGACTGCTGCTCCATAACTCCCCATCTACAAATCCCATAAACACTAAATCAAATATTGATAACTAATCTCAGGGAAAAAAGACTATTTTACCCCTGGTCAAAGTCAACATACTGGTCAAAGTCATCTTTCAGTTGACCGGACTCGCCGAGTTGGGCCGCCAACTCACCAAATCCCTAGCATTCTTTCTGATCCTCTGCTCGCTTCTACTCTTCGAGTTTGGCAAAGACTCGACGAGTTCTTTTTCGATACTAACATCAAGTCTAACTTCATCCGACTCGTCGAGTTGTATGAACAACTCGTCGAGTTCTACTTCATCATATGAACTCGTCCAGTCTGTGACTCGTCGAGTTGTATGAACAACTCGTCGAGTCTGTTCTTGAGGCAAGGAGATTACCTTGGACTCGCCGAGTCTCATGCATGACATTACTATACAGTCGATTCTAGTTGATTTCAGTGCATCCAATCCATAGATTTGGGATTCTAAAGCTGGTTTTACACGTAAAGTTTCCAACTTTACGTGCATGCACAAGAGAATGGGGCTAGAACATAGAAATCATCCAACAATAAGCACTTAGGGTTTGGAATAGGGCTATATTTGCATAAAGGTAGCTACATTGAGCTCTTATAGCTCAATAACATCCAGATCTATGCTTTCCATCCTAAAGAGAGTTCACATATCGAGTTTGAATCATATAAAGTTCAAAGAGAAACATAAACAAGCATAAAAGAGGGTTAAATGGGAGAATGGACAAGGTGATAACTTTATTACCAGAATATGTAGCCAATGGAAGCTAGATTTTGGATCTCCTTTCTCTTCTATTGGTCGTCTTTCCTTCCTTCTCTTCTACAACTTTCAAACTAGCACAAAACATTCAAGCTCAACATCGGAGACTATGGTTACAGAGAAATGCTCTAGAGGTACTGGAGGCTGGGATGGGAGGCTATAATGACGTTTAAATAGGGTACAAACCCTGGGATTTAGGGTTTCTTCCAGACGGGCGGACTCGCCGAGTCCAGAATATGGACTCGTCAAGTCTCCCGCTAAAAACGCGTGCAAATCTCGCCTCTACTCGACGAGTTGGGCTACTGACTTGTTGAGTACCTCTTAAGAAAGGAAAACACTTTATTTAAATTACATACCAGAAATGGGGCGTTACACCTTAGGATGATTACGTCCCAGAATCATAAAAGAAACAGGGATGTATAATGACTCCATACGTTATCTCTTCATCCTAGGTAATAATCGTAACTTCTATGTTTCTTCGAAGGCGTATCTAACTCATGTTCTTCTTGAATGCAAGCGGTACTTGATCTTGCACCTATTCTTTATGTCTTGTTACACTTTTAATCATGACCTTCATATCACAAACTCACTCTTTATCAGAAATGGGGCATTACAATTCTCCCCCATTTATCTTAGATTTCATCCTCGATGTCTGCTGTTATTGATCCTGAAAATAACTTCGGATAGTGCTCCCTCATCTCCTCCTCAGTCTCCCACGTCCACTCTGAACCCTTCCAGTGCTGTCACTGCACCTTCACTAACTGAACCACCTTGTTCCTCAAGGTCTTCTTCTTCCGATCTAGGATCGCAACTGGTCTCTCGATATAATTCAGACTGCTATCAACCTGAATATCTTCCAATGGTACCACTGCTGACTCATCCACCAAACACTTTCGTAACTGAGAAACGTGGAAAGTGTTGTGGATCTAGCTAAGCTTTGCTGGAAGATCCAAACGGTAAGCAACCCGACCCACCCAAGCCAAAACCCTAAAGGGACCAATGAACCTGGGGCCCAACTTGCCCCTCTTCCAGAACCTGATGACACCTTTCCAGGGTGACATTTTCAGGAGGACCAAATCACCCATCAGAAACTCCAAGTCTGAACGCCTCATATCGGCGTAACCCTTCTGGCGACTGTACGTAGTCTGCAGTCTGATACGGACCTACTGGATCAACTCTGTGGTCTTGAGCACCACCTCAGTACTCCTGATGACTCTCTGACCGACTTCTCCCCATAAAATCGGGGTCCTACACTTCCTCCTATAGAGCATCTCGAAGGGAGGGCAGTCAATGCTGGTGTGGTAACTGTTGTTATACAAAAATTCCGTTAACGGAAGATACGTATCCCAACTGCCACCGAAGTCTAGGACGTATAGTCGAAGCATGTCCTCAAGAGTCTGAATCATCCTCTCACTATGTTCGTCTGACTGAGGTTGGAAAGTGGTGCTGAAGTGAAGACGAGTCCCCATCTTGTCATGAAACCGCTTCCAAAACCTGGAAGTGAACCGGACGTATCGATCTGATACTACTAATATAGGCACTCCATGCCGTGCCACTACCTCGCCCACATAAATATCGGCTAGCTTCTCAGCTGATATGCTCTCCTGAATCGGTATGAAATGCGCGCTCTTGTTCAGCCGATCCACTATGACCGCTTCATGTAGGGCCACCAATAATCAAGTCGGAGATCTCTGTACATCTTCGTTGTCCCTGGATGGATGGAGAACCAAAACTTATGAGCCTCGTCCATCAACACCTGCCATACTCCGCCCCAGTATGGTACCCAAACTCTCCCATGAAGGGTCAACAATCCTCGACTGTCATAGTCAAAGGAAGCTACCCGCCCTAAAATCCTCTCAAATTTCTGCCTCTCCTCCTTTAGGCCTTCAACCTGTGCGTCTCTAATCTTCTCCAACAATGGAGTAATCGTCATCCTCAGACATATATCCCTGATCGAGGCTACTACCGCCTTGCGGCTTAGGGCATCGGCCACTATGTTGGCCTTGCCCAGATGATAAAGGATCTCACAGTCATAATCCTTTACTACGTCTAACCATCGGCGCTGCCTCATGTTCAGATTCGACTGATCCATGAGGTACCTCAAACTCTTGTGATCCGTGTAAATGGTACAACTGACTCCATAGAGGTAATGCCGCCAAATCTTGAGGGAACACACTACTGCCCCCAGCTCTAAGTCATGTGTCGGATAGTTAGCCTCATGAGGCTTCAACTGTCTAGAGGCATAAGCTATCACATGCCCTCGCTGCATCAACACTGCATC